GGATGGATGGATGGATGGATATACCGCTTCACAGTGCTTTCCAGCCCTCTCTAAGCGGTTTTACAGAGTCAGCCTCTTGCCCCCAACAATCTCGGTCCTCGTTTTACCCACCTCAGAAGGGCGGAAGGCTGAGTCAGGCTTCAGCTGGTGAAAATCGAACTGCTAGCAGTCGGCAGAGTTAGTCTGAAATACTGCATACTAACCACTATGCCACCACAGCTCTATATGATACCCTTCTTTTGCCACATTACCTCCATGTCCTCCTCAGCATCTTCTTGACTGGTACTCTGCCTTTCGACAGGACTGTTCAATGCTGGTCGGATGCTGTCAGAACGCTGTGCATGTTTTTAAAAAAAACAGAATTAACTGATTTGGAAAATATGAAACTTCCTTTTTTGTAAGCATTTTAAATTGTATTATGGAACTTGCTGAAGCTCCCATTCCAAGGCCATGAGACATACCAACTGATTTTTTTTTTAAATCCAAATTTTATAAGCTTATCAGAATAGAAAACACAAAGGAAAAATGAAAATAATAGGAAACTAGGGGAGGAAAAAGGGGAAGACGAGAGAGTGTAGGGGAAAGGGGAAAAGAAAAACATTGACTTCCGACTTTCTTTGGCAGAGACGTAACAGCCTCAAATTTTTGCTTTTGCACAATAATATATACTAGCCATTTCTATAACTATAAAACTATTTAATCAGCAAAAACCCAAATCTATTTCATTTTTGCCCCATCTCAAGGACAAAATCCAGAAGTGATTTCCAAATGAAATATATATATATATATATTTTCATGGCTTTAAATAAAGCAATCAATTTAACCATCTCTATTTTTTCCTTGTTGTGGAAAGTAATGAATATTTGTGTTTGCAACTATTAATTTTTATAAACTATAAAGTATAGTTTATAAAGATTGTCATTTATCAAATCTGCAAGGCTGATAGACTTTTGTCTATCACCTGTCTCCCTCTCCCTCTCTCATCTTATAACTATATCTGTCTGTCTGTCTGTCTATCTATCTTACCTACCCATCTACCTATCATCCCTATCTATCCATCCATCTATCATCTATTTATCTACAGGACCTACCTACCATCTATCTACATATCATCCTTCTCTCTCTCTCTCTATCTACCTACTGACTCTAACTATCTATCTATCCACCCACCCACCCATCCATCCATCCATCTATCTATCTATCGTAGGCATAATTCAGGAATACTGTGTGCATTCTGCACCATAGATATTTTGAAAAATTAGCTGAATGGAAACTGCATCCTCTGAGTTCCTATTTCCTTTTGTAAGGATTGCTCATAAGCCCATGGAACGGCTTCTAAAGTCCATGTGGTCTTTACAACTGTAAAGACTCAACTTTACCAAGTAGACAAGACAAGAAACCAGGCAAATTATCAATCCTATTTTACTGTAAGGCTACATTAACAGAACCATGCAAGTCTGAAAGTACAAATCTCCCACGGTCTCCTTTAGAGCCTGAGAAACTGGCAAAAGTCCCTTCTGAGCCACTTGCTCCATCCACTATCCAGCTACAGGGCACAGCCTCTCTTATCTGGCCATTTCCTAGGCAGTATCTCTTAACCCACACACCATTACCTTATATCACAACTCTGTGTGGTTGTTACACACACCTATCTGCCAGTTAAACAAGTTAAAACAAATAAGACACATGGATACACCAAAACCTGAAGAGATCAATCCACAAAATCATCTTCCTTTGAAAAGAATATCTGGCGGTTATGTGATGATTTTGCTCCCTGTGTCTTTTGACAACAAATGTATTGTCTTAAAGCTTTAACATACAAATTCAATTTCATGTCCTTGACAATGGGAAATACACTGGGTTTGTTTTTTTTGTTTTTTTGGCAAGGCCCTGAACTGTAGAATATAAAAGGTAATTTGCATGCTACTCCAAAAACCCAACCCTTTGTTCTTTTAATGAAAGCCAACGATGTTCAGAGTTGGTTAGGTGGAGTAGAAAAGAACTCTGACACTCCACACAACTCCTCCCAGGTTTGACAATACACTACCACACAAAACAACTCCAAATGGGTGCAGTAGACCACACAGACTTTTGATGAGCTCCCATGAACAACCCTTACAAAAGGAACTGGGAATTCAGAGGGTGCAGTTTTAATCCAGCCAATTTTTCAAAATATCTGTGGCATAGAATACATACAGTATTCCTGAATTATATATCTTTTGAGAGGGAAAGAGAGAGAAGAGTGGATTAGATAGATTAGGTAGATAGATAGGTAATCTGATAGATGAAGAAGAGATGATAGATAGATAGATAGATAGATAGATAGATAGATAGATAGATAGATAGATAGATAGATAGATAGATAGATAGATACAGAGAGACAGACAGAAGTTAGAAAAAGAGAGAAGAGTAGATTGGATGGACAGACAGACGGACGGATGGATGGATGGATGGATGGATGGATGATCGAGAGAGTGAGTGAGAAACAGACAGATGATAGGAGAGAGAGAGAGATGGATGAAAGAGATGGATGATAAATAGATACATGATACATGGATGGATGGATGGATGGATGAATGGATGGATGGATAGATGATAGATAGATAGATAGATAGATAGATAGACAGACAGACAGACAGACAATAGATAGATAGATAGATGGATGATAGATGGGTAGATAGATAGATAGATAGATGATAGGTAGACAGGTAGATAGATGGATGGATGGATGATAGATGGGTAGGTAGGTAGGTAGATAGATGATAGATAGATAGATAGATGATAGATATAGATAGATAGATAGATAGATAGATAGATAGATAGATAGATAGATAGACAGACAGACAGACGAGAGGGAGGGAGGGAGGGAGGGAGAACACAAGTATCTTGCCCAGTTCAGGGTCTACTGTGTTGGACCCACCTGTGTTGGGAAAGGCACCTGGATGCGTCCCTCTAAAATATTGTCCGTCGTTATTTCCACGGAGCGGGTCAGCTGCAGGTCCTGGAGAATGAGGTGGTAAGGAACCTGGGGGAACATCTCCTGGATCTGGTGGGCCTAGGGAAACCATGCCGAAATGTGTATTGCTCAGGAATTAAACAAAACCTCCAACCATCCAGATGAGCATTTTCTTTTTTTTAAAAGAAATCAGAAATGTAAGTTGAGCTTATTAAAAAAAAAAAAAAACCAAGGGGGAACATGGGGACTTTGGGGTGAAGAAGCAGCATGAATTTGGTGTGGTCGTCGGTGGCCGCTCTGAAACATAGCAGGAGCCTGGAGGAAGAATCATGCATTACTTAAGACAGTGGTGGCTAACCTTTGGGGGCTCCTGTGCCGAAAATTGCACGCTCGCTCGTGCACACTCACTCGCCTGCCAGCACCCAGAAGGCAATGTGCATGGGAGGACCTGCGCGCCCTGCGCATGTGCGCACAATCCCCCCTCCGCCACCCCCACACTGCGCATACGCGTGCCTCCCAGCTGATTTTCGGGCCTTTTTTGGCCTCCCAGCGGCTTGAAGGAAGCCTCTGCAGCCTTTGGGGGCTGGAAAATGGGCCCATTTCGTCACATCCGGTATTTGCGGAAATACAGGAAGATCCAGACCCAGGCCCACCCCCTCTTCATCCTAGGGCATGCAGGGAAGAACGGATAAGGGAGCAACGTGGGTTACAGGGGAGAAAAAGGTCTTGATTTCCTTCATTAGCTGCAGCTGGGAAAACAGGATAAAGAGGGCGTTTGCGCACAGCTCCTTGCTGGAAGCAAAGCGTGAATTATTTTGGTTTGTCTTATTTGAGTTCTGGCGTCCTTCCAACTGTGTGCGTTTCGCTATCTTTTGAAGTCTGCAATTCCTTATCCTGCCCTGTGTCATTAATTGCTGCAGCGTGGTTTGTGTTGGTTTTTATTTATAATTTATATGTACTTTGGGTTCGGACTGAATTTCTTCCCTTTGAACAACTGTTCTTGGGAAAGTTTTTTCTCCAGCCGAAGATAATTGGACACTGGGGGCCAAGTTGGAGGTATTAAAGGGACTTTACTTATTTTTGTGACTTTGTTGCTTTTGTTCCACACCCTGGGTCATCACAAAAGTTATATTTGGGGGGATTCGAATTTACTTCTTTTGGGTTCGCTACTTGGACCATTAACACAGTGGGCTACAGCTCATAAACATTTATGCTATAAGAGGGGGGCTAACGTTTGGAGGCCTCCAAAATGGATGAAGCTACCAAAATGATATATTTACATCAACGACAGTGTCCAAAATATAAACGGGGGGCGGGGCTCACCATGGCATTGAGTTGAGAGTTGCTGGCCTGGGCAATCCCGAGGAGGTTGGTGGTATGCATCACCTCGACCGAAAAGCTCGGGAGCCAGCTAGCGATGCGAGACCCTGGAGGAGAGAAATCAGAAGATCTGTGAAGGACCCTTCCCCATTCGTGGTCCTCTGCTGTGGTTTTTCCAGATAGGTTCATGTATGGGGTGCCAACATTTATTTCAGTAATAGCCCAGTTGATGTTCAAGAAATTGAATGTAAAAAAAATGGTTGTCCCCAACTCTGCTGAGTCTTTAGAAAGTCTGTCAAGGTTTCACCTTTTCCCTATCTTTTTACATCATGGAGTATTACCTGCATATGAAACCATCCTAAGAATGCTTATATCATAAACTAGCTGTATACCCGTGCTTCGCTACGAAACTATGTGATCTGGCTTAGTTTTTGGGGAGGAAAATAAGGGTGGGGGGGAATTGTGCCTCTGCCTACCAGCATCCATCGGTATTCAGCTGACTAACGTCCTGTCAGTGTGTGAGAGTTTAGAGCTGTTTGGAAACTGAAGCAGTATTTGCTGTGTGAGTAAGAAGGAGACAGCAAGGAGCCTGGGCATGGCTTAGCTCAACGGTGCTGTACTAAAGCTGCTTGGTGCTGTGAAACTAAAACTGAAACTCCTCTCCTCTGTTTGTGTTTTGCCTTTGGAAGGCTTCAGGTGGGGAGGGGGAGTAGAACTCCTTAGCATCAGAGCGTGTTAATAATAATAACATAGGAAATACTAATGCTCTGATGGTCATTTCAAAAAATCCTTTCTTAGTGAGCACCTAGAAGCCAAGAGGAACATACGTGCCAAATGTTAAATTTATGGTTGACTTTGTGGTTTGACTTTATGTCAAACTTTACGGTTCTGGAGATTTTGTGATGATGGCGTGAGTGGTATTTCACTTTTATATATGTAGATGGTCCCATCCTTCCATTAGAGGTGAAATCCACTGCCCCACCCCCCACCCCGAACCTTCCAGAAGCCTGGCTCCTTGGCTTGGTCTGGGAAGAAGTCCCACTACATTAGGGCTGGGTGATGGGAGAGAAAAAATTCTCATGCATCCAGGCTGTCGGTCATCTTGGTTTTTAATTTTAATGTTTACTTTTTTGCTGTAATTATAATTGCTTTAGCACTTTTTAACTTTAATAAAGTTACATTCTAAGCCACCCACAATCATCTTGTTAGTAAGATGTGAACTTCAAGGCAGGGAAGAGGAAGAAAGAAAGGAAGGAAGGAAGGAAGGAAGGAAGGAAGGAAGGAAGGAAGGAAGGAA